TGAAGCTCACAGTTTACCTCCTTAAAGATCCATGTGTCAATCACTAGAATCCTCTTGCTATCAGTAATAGCAATATATACATGTGTCTGTATATATATATATTTGGTACTCAAAGGATTTTCTAGCCTTATTCCAAGCAATCAAGGACATGTGTGTTAAAATAACCATGGCACTGTAGAACAGTCTTGTAAATACCATATGTCAGAGGAAAAAATACACGGCTAAATGCATGTCAGCATCAGTTTCTGCAGTTTCGTAGGAGTTCTGGCCATGGAAGTGAAGCAAAGCTGGGCCAGCTGAAGATTCAGTTTTACACAGAGCTTATTCTGTGCTTTGAAAAGACAGATCAGATGGTGATTGATGAACTGACCTGGGACACAGCAACTGGAATTAAGCTCCTGTTATGCTGCAAATTTTTTGTATGGGAAGCAGTTATATTTCATCCATGGTGTTGCATTGCCACTTAAGCTTTTTACATCTCTCTTCCCAGCAAAACAGAAATAATGGTACTTTATTGTATCCAGTCCCCACTCAGTCTTTTCTATCGAGACTGTAAGTTCTTGAGAGAAGGCAGTACATAGGTAAAAACTTTGCAATCAGAAAACCTTTGCAATAAGAACCTGGAAACAAAACTACTGTAACTACAGCAGGAAAGGAAATTTGGCCTGGAAGAAGAGCCAGAAAGAGCTGAAGCATCTGTCTTACTGTTCCCAGAGCAGAACTTCAGTTGCAATCAATATGCCCAAAATCCACAATCCTTAAACATAAGTGCATTATTAGAGGTGCAGTCAAGGTCCACAGTGTCCTAGTATCCCCACTGATGGAAAACTCTTCCCTGAACAGGTAGTACAGGCTACCCTGAACTCCAGATCAGAGTCTTGATAAAGCCAAGCACAGGTGGTTTTTTTGTAGATTTCCACGATCTCTTTAATCAGTGGGGATGCAGGAGTGGAGGGGAGTGAAAGATCCTTTAGTTAGCTGTACAGAAAAGGTATCCATACCTTTTCTTGGTCATCTACAAAAAATGGGATTGGGGTATGCATTTTCTGAAGAATGGATACTTAACCCCTGATTTTAAAAAAGGGTATATGTGAAGACAAGTTGTTTGGTCAGGACTGGAAGAAACACTATTGATATGGGTAGAAACTGTAAAAAATCTAAGAAATCAATGACTTAGCTATTTAGGTAAAGAAACATTGAGACACTTGGTAGTGATCCCAGTTTTATCTCCTCTTTCTAAAAGTTCGAGGCTTTTAAATATGCAACATATAGCTGGGCATTAAAGATTTTCACAGTCTTTTTCATATAAGCTTGGCTGTCTTTATGGATTTGATGCCAGAACTAAATCATATAAAAATCAGCTGAATAATGAAATCTGCTGGGGAAAAGCAATGTAACCTATATAACCAATAGTGTTGATAAAGCCTATAGTTTACAAAAGGGAAAAAAATCCAAACAAAAAATACAAACCTGGAAAGGTTAGATAATGTCTTCCACAAGAAGAGAACAAACTTCCTTTCTCTTTCCACTTAGTCTGATGGTAAAGTAGAAATGGGAATATTGACAAAAAAATTTCTGCTTCTCTGTGTGTTGTGACAAATATAAAATGATTAACCTATACTTGAAGATCCATAACTTTGGATAAAACTGCTTTTGAGGCTTGGCCAGAATGTCTGTTTCATCAAAAATCATTAGTAGGATACATCAGCACAGGGACAGTAACAAAAAAAAAAAAAATCTATTTAAGAAATTCAAGTGCTTTCTGAGCATATGGAGCCTGGCAAAAATAGTCCTCTTCTTACAATAGTCCCCGATGGGTGAGATTTCTTCCGAGAAATCGTGGAAGAATTGTGGTAAAAGCTGGAGAAGCTGGGAAAATTTTGGATTCAGCAAACACTTTCAGGGATGATCAATCCAGCCTGTGACCACTAAATCCTTCTTGGAGTCACCAAGTTCTTTTAGAGAGATGGTATAACCCAGATATTTTGTGGAGATCAAAGATCATTTGAAGCAGTGTTTTTCAAATCAGCATACATCTGCTGGAGACAAGCACCTTGGGAGTTTGTGTGTCTATGCTACAAATACATTGCTAAAAAAAATATCTAGAATAGCTCTTAAGTTGTAATTCAAAAATATTGAAATTAACCAGGGCGATGCATATATCAGAAGTAATAAACAAATACTCAGAGGTGATATATCTGGCTTACAAGACTGTTTACTGTTATTTTAAACTGGTTTATCTTTCCTTCAAGTCTAGTTTTGTAAAAGCTTCAGCAATCTACAAATGACACAGTTTTATATCAAGGACAATGATCTCTGATTTTACTGTTATTCTTATGGAGTTCTTGATAGTTATTGCTGGATTTAAAGGAGATGTTAACCATTGTTAAATTTGAGAAGTGTTAGAATTAATTTTCTAGATTTAGAGAAAGTGATTTTTTCGTTTAGTTTTAGCACTTGTAGGGAGTAATATGGCACCTGGATCCTACACCAATACAACCTGAGGCAGGCTGGGTGTGACAAAAAGGCGCTGTGTTTACATTCTTAGAAAAAGCAACATGAACATCTTTGAAGCCATGAGTGCTTCTTGCCCTGGCATGGCATGTCAACAAATCTTGTAACCTGATGCCACCTTAACTGAAGTAAACTACTGAAGTATGTTACTTCAGTTACTTTACTGAAGTATCGGTACTGAAGAGGTAAAAGATATCATCAATAATACCATTCTTTGTTCTAAAGAACTTAGAAATCATTCAAAGACCAGCTCAGTTCCTAGATTTGATGAAAGGGAGATAACTGAGTGAATTTCTTTGATTTCTGCCTATATCAGAGCTGCTGACTCCAGGTATGGACTTGAGAGGGGGTTGTGTGATAGCATTTCTCATGACATTCAGGTGGTGAGACCATTACTAGTGAATACCACTTGTCTTTTCCATTTCAGTTTGCGCAGGTGTCTATACATATGCGGAAGGTAGTAAAACAATCTAAATGCAAGGGTGCCCACAGCTTTGCCAGGGTCTTATTTGCTTTCTTCCTCAGCAGCTGCTAGAAGTGACAGTGCTCTAGAGCCATGTTTTGCTCTATGTCTGTGACTAGCCAGCAGGATTCTGCCCAGTTCTCCATTACTGTCTATTACCCTCTCTTTAGTTTTTGAGTTTGGCTTCTGCCAGCAAAATTTAACTGAGATCTGTCTAGATCAGATAACCTCACCTAGAAATACTTCCAATATTCTGCAACAAGGGATTACGTTTTGTTGCGAGGAAGAAAACTAGAGACTCTCTTTATTGGAGGCCAGTTCTGAGTATTCCCTTGGCATAGGCCATGCTAGAGCAGAAGACTAGTCCACGAAAACAAGTCACAACACTTTATGGAAAATCAAAAGTGGTTGATTAACCCAGACAAATTGATCTGACTCCAGCGAAATTAGACTCCTGAAGAGCTGCGCATGCATCCTTCTGTTGTTCCTGACCAGTTTCCTAATGAAGCCAGGGCAGTGGACTCTGGCTGTCATGCTGGTTTTCACCTGTGTGTGGAGTCAAACGGGCTGCTCCCAGAGCCTCACTACAGGAGCTGAAGTGACCTTGGCGTGACATCCTACCGTCTGTGTTGTCCAGGCTTGTAAATACTGCAAAGAGTGTGCATGTTGTCCATAGCCAGGTTGCCCTACTCGGAGAGGTTTTAGTAGCGCATTTGTCGTGCCAGTAAGGCAGCCAGAACAGGATCCTGTAAGGCAGTCAGGAGATGAGAATACTGTCAAAATCTCAGGAAGCAGACTAGTAATCTGCAGAGGCCTAAATAGGGCTTTTAAAATTGGAAGCAGAACTGACTGCCTAGACAGAGTTTTTTGAAAGATAAACAGCGTCAGCAAGCTAAATGGATTTCAAGCACAGCTTTAATTGTTTTTTCAAACGAATCAGCAAAGGGCACCCTAGCTGGAACAAGCTCTGAAGTACAATCAGGAAGATTTCAAGTGTACAGTAGTTTTGAAGATAGTCAGGCACTTCAGTGCTGGAAGACACTGTAGTAAGTAATGAATAAAGCCTTTTTATGACAATACTGTAGTCTTTGAGTCAATTACAATACCTGCCCTAACATGCCCCTGCATGATGAACTTCACCATCCTCATTAAAATTGACATGTACACGATTTCCAAACCTAAACAATTGTCTCTGCAGCACATTTTATCAGAAGAACAAATTTTTTATTGCCAATGCCTATTGTGTGGAGAACACCCCCCATTTTTCTCCTTTTCCCCTTTCTTCCCCACTCTACCCAATCATCTCAATAGCCCGTGACAGACTACCAACAGTTCTGAGTGGATTTTACTGTAATTCTTGCAGAATCCCTTGGACCTTGCATAATGGAAATTTTTTGGGTCACCAAATCATGTTTCCTAATTATAGGAACGATAAGAAAAGAAAAAAAAAAAGAAAAAAAACCCAGACATAATGTGAAAACATTCCCTTATTCTGGCAATTTTGCTTTTAGAAACCTGGGATAACCCACTCGCTCCCATCTGGTTTGCAAAGGTGTGCTCTGTTTTAACCTTGAAGCCAGAGCTCCTTCTCCTCTCCTCCTTCCCCGGCTCCTCTCCCACCGGAGCAGAGGGACCCTCCTGCTCCTACATCCTCCTCGCCGGGGAATTAATCACCCCCATCTCGCCCCCGCTCTCGGTTTTGTTCCCTCCTTCGGGAGCAGAGGCGATCGGGACGAACGAAGACTTCGCCACCGCGATCACCCCCGCGACGCCCTCATCCGCCCTCCCCCGTCCGCCACCTCCGCCCCGCACGGCAGCGGGCGGGCTGCGGGCCCCGGCCGGGAGGGGAGCGCGGGGCGGAGCGCGGGGCCGCGGGCGGGGCGGGGCGGGGTGGGCGCGGGGGAGCGGCGCCTGTTGCCCCGAGAGAGTTAACGGTGCGGGCAAAGTCGCTCGCCTCTCCTCCGCCCGTGCTCTGGTTGCGCCTGGCAACCGGGGCGCCGCGCATGTGGGACCGCCGGGGCCGCCGCCCCCGCCGGGCCCTGCGCCCCCCTCCCCGCCCCGGACGAGGCGCTTAACGTGCCCAGGCGTGAAGTATGGCATGCAAAGATGGTTTCTGCCAAGGAGCCAGCCATCGCCATGTCCTCGGGTCTCTCCATCGCCCTCCTGCACTGCCTGTGCCTGGCGACGTGGTGAGTACCCCGGCGGCGGCGCCGGGGGGCCCGGGCGGCCGGTCCCGGTGCCGCTGCTCCCCGCGGGCTCCCGGCGGCTCCGCTCACCTCCGCTCCCTCTTTGCCTCGCAGTCTCACCGGGCCGCCCGGGCAGAGCAAAAAAGAGGAGAAATTGTGGCCGGAGAATTTCACCAGTATCCTGAACAGCCTCCTGGATGGCTATGACAATCGGCTGCGACCGGGATTCGGGGGTACGGTGGCGGCGCGGTGACGGCGGCGGGCGGGGGGTCGCTGGGCAGGGGCGAGGGGCGCAGCGGTCACCGCTCGGACCGACCCGTTACTGACCGAAAACGTGGGGATGTGTCCCCACTCCCCGCCCCGGGGTTTGAGCTCTCCGGGAAGGGCCGGCAGCGAGGTAGCTCCTGGCCCCGAAAGCCCCGGGGGTGCTGCGCAGTCCCGGCTGTGGGGGTCCCGCTGGGGCGGTCCTGGACTCAGCCCCCGCTTCGCTGCTCTGCCCACATCCCGGGCTCAGGCTGCTGCGCTGGAGGAAAAATAAGCCCTGAAAGGAGTATTGCGTTGGCTTGGTGGGGATGGAGGGTCCTGTCTAACATCCAGATTCTTCTTGTTCTTGTCAGTTTTTGACGCGTAAATGCCGCGGTCCGGTCCTAATAGAAACAACTGTACTTTTAATCAGCCTAAGAGGTTAAGTCTTCGATAGGTTCTATTCCAGTAGTTAGGGAAAACCGGAGCTGAGGTGCCTCAGCACAGTAGTTCTTTACCACAGTTGCTGAAATTACAGCGTTGGTTTAGAAGTAGTAGACGTAATTGCTGTATGGGAAGTAGATGTGGAGGGGTTTGAGATTTGCCTTCACCTGTGCTCTGTATAGGGGGGGGATTTGGGCCGCTTTTGTACCCCAGGCTGTTAAGATGCAGTTTCGTGTTGCTGAAGAGGCAGCCAGACTTGCTGTTCTTTATTGATTTTAGTGTTTCTATATAAGGACTTGGAACTAAAAATCATTAAAATCCAGGCAAAATAATAAAAAAAATTAAATCTTGTAATCTAAAGTAGGAAAAAAAAAGATTTATAAAGAAATGCTACAGCCCTTCTACAGCCCTTCTTATGATGCACAAAGCTATAACAAGGGTATTATAGGCTGCTTCCTATGCAAGACTGAATGAGATCCTTGCGTAGGTTTATGTTGCGAAATACTTTCTTCCTCCTCTGAAGTATCTTCTTCATACACGTGATCCATCCACACTGACATGTATACCAACACATTCCCCACATGCCATATACAGTGCTCACATGCATGATCGTGATTGTTAAAGGACAACACCTGGCGCCATTGATCGCTCCTTTATTATTATGGGTGTACTGAATAAGTGAGGCCTTCTTAAGTTACCTCACATGTTAAGTGAGAAGGAAGCTAAATTTGTTAACACCCGGAGGAATCATTGGGAAATGATAGCCTTTTGCAATTTAGTCTTTGCGGAGAGGTTACAGACACTTCTGCATGCGTACAAGAGATGTGCTATGTTTGGCATCATTTTAGGTTGAATGCCAACTAATTAGTCATCTAGCAAAGATGCTTTATGAGCATTATCAGATTTCCAAAATTAAACAACCACTAAATATGTAATATGTGTTGATTTTCATTTTAATACAGTTGTCCTTTGCAGAATATTTTGCAAGAGTAGAACTTCTTCCCCTGTTAAGTGTTGGAGACTTTCAGCAAAATGCAATCAAGGAGAGAAAGTTCATTGTACCTTCTTGAACTTTCATATTGGCAATATTAAAGTAAATGAGAGAGGGAGGAAAAAAATTCTCAGATTTCAGCTTGGGGAAAACACTTCTGGGTGAATATTTCACAAAATGGATATTGTACTACTTCTTTCTTCTTCCTTCTTTATTTATATTCTTTCTTAAACCATCTATATGGTTTAAACAACTCATCTTTGAGCTTTGAACTTTTAAGTAAAACATGGGTGAAAAATACTTCGGTTTTGAAAATGATGCTTGCTCCCTAGTTCCTTACAGTGAAAATTATCTTCACCTGATTTAAGGAACAACTTTGGAAAAAAAAACCCAACAAAACCAAGCAAAGAAAGAAATTTCTACAACTGATCAGATTCCACTTTTTGACATTACTCAGAGTAATAACTATGGATTAGTTATTGAAATGTCAGAATATCAAAATCAACTTTTCCCTATATTTTGGAGGTTTTATGCTGATAAATCTTTATGACAAATGGGATTTATACCTTAAAAGTTGGTACTCACTAGTTTATAGCATAGCTAGCAAACAAAATGTTTATAGGGGATAGGAATATTTAGAGATGGAAAGTTTAGTGTGTTTTGGTAATGTTAAAGCTAAATCACTTTTTGAGGAGCAGCAGATAATTACTTTTGTTTTCTTCTTGAAGCTGATTTACCATCTAGTTTTCACATGGCCTGAAATGAAATGAGGGTTTTATTTTAAGAACAAAAGGTGTCACAGAGGTCTGACTGATGCTGATTTTAAACTTCAAATTAATGAAAATATTTCTAATTCTGGTGCAAATTATCTTTAAAATTAGACTTGGGGAGGTAGCCATATTCTGAATTTTGCTGGTATATTCCAGAGTTATCACAAATAACAGTGCATTAAGAATGTTTGCATGCAAAGTGAAGTAGAAAATGTTTGATTTTGGAGATTTCCAACAACTGGATCAAAATTGTCAATGGTAGTTATGGAGAAGAAGTTAAATTGCTTAAGCTTGCTTACAAATGTGGAAGTTGTCTCCCGGAAGAGTGGGGAATCTCAGTGTAGTATATGGAAGCTTATCTTGGTGGTACTTATACAGGAGCATGGCATATGTTGAGGATTAATATAAGAATGAAGTTCCCCATGTCATTGGATTGACACCTTTCATTAAAAATTCACTTTATTAAATGAATGTCAAAAACCTAAAAAGTTGTTGTCACTTACTACCAAACCTCACAGTGTTTGGTGTAATAGACACTAGGGGTTTATGCAAAAGCTTAATAAAGATCATTTAAGTGAAAGTTCCCATTAAGTTGGGGAGGGAGGGAATCTAAAGATGCAAGACAGAAGCAAAGAAATGTCACCTAGAAATTTAGTGAAACAAAGCAGAATAGGCAGTTTTGTGTAGGAAAGAAAAAATAAAGCAACCCTGCAGCTGCTGTCAGGAAGACTTTGAAACCATAAGAGTTTTGAATTCTAGTAGGGGGAAGGTATTTGGGGACTAATGAATAAAGTAATGCTGTTGGCTGTTTGAAAATAGTGTGATGGAAATGAAGTCAGTTCATTCCCTGCACTGTGTGCTTGGTTATATCATTAGCTGGAAATTCAGCATTCAATTTGTAATCCAAGTGGGTCTGGGTCTCCTGGTCAAAACCATTCTATAAAAATAGGGTTTTTACAGAAGCCGCTTGTGGTGTCCTCAATTAAAAGCATTATCTGCTGGAAAACTTCAAGAGTACTAGCACAGTACTATTTTGATTCAGCTGTAAAAGTTTGAAGTAAAAGCATTTCCAGTTAAACCCTGTCTCCAGTTTTCATCTGCTTTTAAAAATTTTGTGTATGACATGAAGGAAAACTATAGACAGTTAAAAAAGTTGGATTTGCTCTGAAAATCACCTTGCTACCTTTCTGGTGATTAGTTTCAAAGGGACAGTAGAATTCCGAAGTCTTTGAAAGGAGCTTTATTCACAGTAAAAGGCCTGAGTCTGATTTGCCATTTTAAAGCCATACGTGGTTTCAGACTGTACCTGAGGAACTCTTGACATAAGCAAGAGCTTGTAAGAGCCCATTCAAACCTGTATTGGAAAGTAACCTTAAAAACCGTAATGGTGTCTTTGAAACTTTCATGATACAGTAACTCATCACACTCAAGCCAGGATTTAAGGAAGTAGGAAGGAAAAGAGAGGCTGAAGCTGATGAGGTCAGCATCACTGCACGCTACCTCGTATCTGCTCATTTTAATGAATTGTGCCTTTTAGAGAACATCTCATCTCTGATGTCTTGCCTTTAATGGCCAAGTGTATGGCCAGAGCAAAGAAAGAAGGTGGTGTGTGACTTGCCTCCTCCCCAAGGGTCTTAGATTGTGAAACCTGCTCACCACAAGCTGCTGGCATTGCCCACAGTGCTTTGCTGGCTCATTGTGGTGTGGTTGCCCATCAGTCAGTGAGAGCTGAAGCCCTTTCCCTTCCTGAGTTCTGTTGTGTGAGGTAGAGTCTGGCATGAGCTTTGAGTCTCACTATCAGCTACTGAAATGGTGTTAGCTCTGTGGCACTCTCTTTCAAAACTACCACATACAGTGACTCATGAGTAGAAGGAACAGGACTGTGTGCATTTTTTTCCCTTTTTATTTTCTTCATTTTTTTGCATTCTTTCTTATGATCTCATACCTGTGAAAGTGCACCTGAGTACTTGGTGGAATTAAATATATTGGCTATTGTCTCCCATTGGAAGGGTAGGCTCCTCTGCCTTGTCTAGGCTGTGTGATGTTCAGCTGATGAACAGCATTTCTGGAGAGTTTCATTTCCTGTCAATGCGGGACTTTAGTCAGAAAATAAACACAGAATACACTCGAAGAGCAAAGACAATTTTCTGGTTTTAGAGAAAATAAAAATATCTACATGATTATCTGTCCTTACTAGGAACTCACATGTTCCTTCAAGGTTCCATTGCTCAGCATAATAGATATTGCAATTTATTTTTATTTTTTAGTTTGCAAATAGACTTGAAGTGAGCATTGTAAAGTGAAGCTGGTCATTTCTTTTTTCCAGGCAGTTGTCCAGTCTTCCTCAGCTGGTGAGAGTAGATGACTCAAAGCTTAACAGGATATGGTGTTAGATACCTGTAGGTGACGGATTTGAATTTGGCCCAGGTTAGTAATGCTTGAAGTCATTACCATCTGTCTGTTGTTCACTGATCTGTATAAAATTAGCTGATATTCATAGTCCAGTTCTTAGTAGACAGGTGTACACATCATGAAAACTGGCACCAGTATCAAGCTTATTGGCTGTCTCAGCAGAGATGATCTGCTGATAAACAGGCAAAGAAACAGTAATCTCCTAATTTCTGGAGGTATTTTTTATCCCTTTTCATGTTCAGACATGCTGATGGATAAACATACATAGAGACAAGGGTTATTGTGTTCTCCTGTGTTTTTTGTGTTGTCTTTTGGAAGGGAATGTAGCCCAGGCTTTTGAATTCTACTTTAATTTTTTAAAAATGCCCTACCTACTTGTTCTGGCTTCTGAATAGAGTTCTTACATATAGCACGTGTCCTCAGCTGTTCTTTCTGATAAAATGAAACAAGAGAACATGCTTCATATGATGGCTTTTTTTTTTTTTTTTCACTTCACTTAAAAAATGTCAACCCTATTCAGGCAGCAAGAATTTGGAAAGAGAAAGCACCAAATCTTTCACATATAGTTATATTTTAAAAAAATCTGTAGAAACTACTTTTTTTTTTTAATGTAGCTGTAGGAAATGATGTAATACAATTTTATGTGGTTTATGTATCCTGGGACTGATCTCATAATAGCAGCAATAACTGCACTTAGCATTTAAACTCTACTTTGTATGCTGAAACCTTTGTACAGACTTGCTTGTTAATGTTTCCAATTAGTTGTGTGATTTTTTTTGATGGCAAAATTTGCAATATACAGAAAGCCTGTGCAGGGTTTGACTGTTTACATACAGTGGAGATCTCTGCAGTGACAGTTGCCTATGGAGACGCGGCAATAATGGAGCCCAAAGTCTTTCCCTGGGAGCTGTACTGCAGTTCAACCCATATGTTGACATAAAATGCATGGGAGAGCTGTCTTATGTTCATCTTCACAGGGCTAGGGCCCGGCATCGCTTCTTCAGCCCACATGTAACATCTATACCACTGAACTATTCTGGCTTTTTGCAGGGGTTGCTTTTAATCCTGCTTGAGCTTCTTTAAAGTGTATTGTCTTGCAAGCAGTGATTCAGACTTAACTGTTCCCACTGCAGTGTGTAGGACTCTCCTCCTATTTCATTGACATAAAAATACACACCGGTATGTTATAAATAGTTCTTCAGCATTCCTAAAGATTTATGGCGGATAGATACTTAACATCCACTGAGGGACAAGCTCAAACGGTCACATTCAAAGTAACTGGCCTTCTTACAACTCCCTGCATTTTATTGCCACTAATAGAGTGTTAGGGATTCTAATAGGATCTTCTGCTTGCAGAACCTGAGTTGATTTAGTGGTGCAACACATTCATTTTGGAGGACTGCTTAAATCACCAGTAAAAGTAGGTTAGGTGACTACAGATCACCTCCTCGTTGACAGGAATTCCCACTATTAATAATAGTTTAAAAAAGAAACAGCAGCATGACTCACTATTTATACCCCCACTATTGTTACCAACTCGAGTTACGTTTTCTTCTAGAACAAGAAGAATAAGAGATAGGTATTGGTGTCACCACAGATACTCCTAGGTTGGCATTAAGTACTGGGCCATGCTAGAAAATCCAAGATTTGTCATTTTGTTACTGTTAAGGTCAATGTAGGTGGAAGATGTGGAGCATGAAAGGGCTGCAACTGGAGAGAAAGCATTAGGGAGATAGCTTTACTGTTTCTGGCTGCCGTCTTTCCTCCTACCAGACACTGAAGTGTTTGACCAAGGTTTTGGCTGCAAAGCAAGGATTTGTATGTCAGTACTACCTGGATAACTGTTAGGATGCCTAAAATATTTCTAGATCCTCAATCATCTACCATTTTCTGAAGGACTATAATGTGATTTTAACATTTGTTTTGTCACTCTTCTGCTATTATGTTGGGCAAGCAACCAAAAGTAAACATTATTTTGTGGCCTCATCGTTGTCTGAGAGTTCCTGATTCCTTCTTTCTCATGGGTCATACTAATAAATATTTGAGAACAGAATAACAGTTACTGAAGAGTGAACTCAAGCATAGTTTTAGTCCTGTGCTGCTTCTATAGTATTTCTGATAGCATTAAGTCATAGGTTTGATGATTTGGAGGTTAGCTTCTTGGTCTTAGCTCTCCCCTTCTTTCTGAGAAACTCCAGAAAACAAATCTGCAAAAAGGCTCCAAACGCTTATTCCTGAGAAGCTGTAATCATTTAATAAAACAGAAGAAATCAATATCTGAGGAGAAGCAGCTTGTGCCTCTGGGAAAAATCTGTCCCTTTCCTCAATTTGGTATAGCTAGAAAATTACAGTGTTCTATGAGCTAAAGAAAAGAGTATACCATCAGAAAAAAAGCATTTAAAGGTTTGGGGTTTATTTGAGGACTATTCCTATATAGTTTCTTAGAACTAACAAGTAAAGCAGTTCCTGAAAGGAATTCAGGGACTAGTCTCTGTTACTCAATAATACTAAATAATACTGAATATTGCACTCAGTTCCTGAAAGGGATTCTTGCAGGAACTGTGACCAATATTCATCATTCTCTTATTATTAAGTAACAAAGACTAATTCCTGCATTTTCTTATTAAAGTTATGTGAGAAAATGACTTTTTTTTCATTTCTATAGAAGTGATTTCAGAAATATTTCAAGTTCAAGTGAAATAAATATTTATATATATTTAAAACAACCCCAGATAAATAATGGTAGTACTGTGATTATGGGAGGTCAGTTGCAGTTAAATCTCTTCTATTTCTAGGTACAAGTGTGACTGGGCTTTTCTCTCCTATTTTCTAACACTGTAGATGAATGTCTTCACTTCTAATCTCTTGGAGCTCTTCTGCTCTCCAGAAATAATTACATTCAGGAAATGTCATTGGACTACGTTGTCAGTCAAATGAATGATCTAAACACTCATGGATTTCCCTGACCTAATAAACACTTTTTTATTTGTAGAAAGGGGAGCAGCTTCCATTTGACATGTCCAGAGTGCAACCCACTGCAAAACAAATGGTGTGGTATGAAAGTGTGTTATCTGGAACCTGGGAGTTGCTTCTTAAAACCTCTTCAAGACAGACATGCCAAACTATCCAACTTTCCAGGGACCACTGAGCTACCAACTCTTGTACAGTGAATTGTCTTTAGATTATATCTTGAAAAAATGTATGTGAAACTTAGCTTCCAGCAAAGTAACTTTTTTGACATTTAGTTGAAAATTTCTTAGCTGTTCTTCTCTACATAATTTGTAAATTCTTTAGTAAAATTATTTTACATTTGTTTTTTATTTTTTCTTCACAGCTTGGGACTTGTTCTAGGTGCAAGAAGTATAGGTTCCCTGTTTTCCCATTGCATATTTGGTTTTTTCCTTCTACCATTTGATTTAAAGTACCATCTGTAAAGAGTGATTTTTTTTTTTCTTTTGAAGAGGGACATATTCTTCCGCTGCTAACTCAGTTGAGTCTTTCCTCCTTTCATTTTTAAATTGCAAATACTATGCTAAAGCCTGAATTAACAAACTTGAGCCACTTATCCTCTTTAGAAATGTGAGTTGTAGGGGTTTAGAAACTGGTTATGAATTTGTAGATCATACGTGTTTTTTCACACAGATACTCTTTGGTAAGACTGTCAGTAGATTTTTTTTTTTTTTTTTTTTAGTTTTTTAATTTATGCTGTGAGTTAATTACCTGAATTAAACTGTTAGCTAATGCTTTGATCACAGAATCATCTTAACAGCTGGTAATGATTAGCAGCTTTCTAGCCTTTTACACTGGGAACAGACCTAAATCCCAGTGATATTAGTGTGTGTGTGTTCTTTGGTTTAAGGGGAACTGTAGAGTGCCCCTCTGAAATTTCAAGGTAGTAAAGGAAATGATAATTAAAATGAAACTGCTTTCTCTGATGGTTGATTTGCCATATGCAGCTGTGAGAGTGTAAGACCTCTACTCGGTACCCTCTTTTTAACAACATCCCAAGTAACACCAGCTCTTTCAAGATGGGCTTCGTAGCAGGATGTGGTCATAGGTTCAGACACTCAAAAATGCTTAGATGTCTAACTTTTATTTTGAATGTTAGTGTTAAAGCACTTAAGTACATTTGGGATATGGATGCAGTTCTTGATCCTGCAATACTAAATTGCCCAGTGCATGGCATGCTAATGTCCGTAGTCCAGTTATTACCAGTAGGACCAAATAATAGTAATAAATGCCTTGAGGAAAGTGGATTTCCTGAATGCAGTACTTTTTGTTAATTATCATGGTGTTTTCAGTGAGCCTTTTAATTTTTTGGCATTGGTTTTCTTAGTCATTGAGTCAATGTTAGTTTTCTGAATGGGGATTTGCATGGAAATGCTGCTTTTGATTTACTTATGTGGTAAATGTAATGGAGCAGTGCTTCTAGACTTATCTGAATTGACCTCTGTTTGCATTTTGCTCTTGCTCGTCCACAGAACCCTGAAAGCGGTAACTGTTCACACGCCAGGATCATTTATGGGAATTGTTGACCTGCAAAATTCAAATTTTCTTGCTCACTTCCTTTTCATACATTAGGTCCTGTTACTGAAGTCAAAACAGATATATATGTCACCAGTTTTGGACCTGTTTCTGATGTAGAAATGGTATGTATTTCTGGGATTAAAATGCCATTTCCTCGTTCTGAGAAACCATTAACTGCAGTAGGAGTGGATGCTTCATCTGTACTTTTCTGTCAATCATGCAAATTAGGCAAGATTAGTAACAGCTTAATTTACAAGTTATAATTAGATCCATCAGGCCTGATTCTGGTCACACTTTCAGTGGGTTTTGGCTGGCTTAAGGAATTCACTTCATAGGATTTAAAACAGATTTTCACGGTGTAGAGGCAGAATCAGGCCTTCCAGGGAGCATCTAAGTCAGTTTACTTGTGGGGGAAAATGTGTAATATCTTTGAAATTGCTTTTCATTTCTGAAACTTGTGTTATTCTCAGTTGAATAGTAATGAAATCACAAATACTTGTTGACATTTTCATTTCAGACAAATGCTCTTCGCTGATCTTTATATTCCTTTTAGCATCACTTTCAGCAAATGTTTGACTGATAAGAGTTTTCATAGGTATTTGCAGAAATTGAATGCCCAAGTGACATGCATGAAATAATTAAGAGAGGAGAAATGTTACATTTACATGTTCTGTTATTTGGGCCTGAATGGCTTTTGCTTTCAAGGTCAAATCCAGCAGAAGTCTCATCAACTTTTAGAAGACAGTGGTATGCCCTTAAATCATACAGTAGTTTCTCTTTTTATAAGTTATTCAAGAAATCCTGTGGAAGTAACACAGCCATACGTGCTGAACTGAACTTCTTTATGGAAAAGGCAGTTTCAGGGTAGTAATTTTCTTCCCATATAGTGTTGTCATTCACTTTGTGGTGTACTTGATTTGCTTCTATCATGTGGAAAGGTATGTGATAGCAAAATATTTTTTCAAGGGCTACATTTGTGCCAGCAGCCTGATGTTGAAATGCATCTTACCCCTTCATTGGTTGTCATGTACAGTATGATGCTTATCAGTGTGACAAGGGGTACAAGAATCTGTAAATACCAAGGAAATCTAGTAATATGAGCCTAAAAACTACAATGAGGGCTGCATGGCATCTCTCAGGTTTCATTGAAGCATTTGTCATGGTGCCATGTGGGAAGTTACTAGTTATTATTGGAGAAGACAGAACTGAGAACATGGACTGAAGGTAGGTAAGGAACTAGTCAGGAGGGATCCAGGGGTTGTTTTTGGAATACTTTTTAGTTAATGTATCTATAAGTGACCCAATGTAATATGACTGCACTCAGAAAATTCACTGCAATGGTGAGGTGTCGTACGGTTTCAGTACAGGGGATGATCAGAATGTCTCTTTAGTGGCTTTGGTACCCAGTGTAATGAAAATGGTTGAAATCTTACATTACAAAATCTGTCATGTAGAAGATAATAACAGAAACTACTACTTGTGAGCTATGAAGTCATCAGCAAGAAATGACACTAGAAAAGACACTTTTCATGGATTAACTATAAACCACAGTGGAGGATACAGTCATGGGAAAGAAGACAGATATAATCCTAAAATGCATGACACCAGTAGATGTGCCTCATTGCGAGTGCAAATAGATATGACCTGACAAGTAATTTCAATGGTAACATTATGCAGAAAAGTTCAAAACAAAGTCAGAAAACATTGTTTACTTAAAAAAATCACAGCTGTGAGTTAGAAAGGACTCAAAGCTTTCCATGTTACATTTTTCAATGTCACATGATCGGGGTTTTTTGTGTGAAATGCTTTAGCTTCCTGAGATGAGAAATGTATTCCTTCATCCATTCATTCATATATTATTTCTCATGGTGTGCCCATGTCTGCAGTTCTGCTGTTGTTTGCATGTTTTTGTTGGAGCATCTGTATGGCTTTTCTGAGGGTTAATGGGATAGTTATAGTTTTAAAAAATGTGTATGTATGCAAGTCTATATGTAATTTATTATCCATGTTTTGTGGGCATGGCAAAGAACTTATTTAGCTTTCCTCAGCTAAAAGCTTACTTTCCATGAGATGAAATTAAGTTTTCTTTCCTAACTTTAAAGTGAAAGTAATTGTTTGTCCTGGTATTTTTAATTTAGACAGCAGCAGTAAATGGATGAATATATTTTCTTTAAAAATCTGTTGACACTTCTTGTCAGAGATCATTTTGTTTCCAGTTATATGCTTGACTACAGATTCAGTTGCCTGCTTCCCGCAACCTAATTAGATTAATTATTCCTTAACGATTAAATGTGTAGTAATTTATTGATATGACTAATGTAAATTAAGCTAATAAGAGGTACACAAGACACTTACTTTAATTAGTGGAAATGTGTTTATGTAGTAGACTTAGTATTTTCTTTACTAATGGTTTCTTTGCTCCTGAGGGATTTCTTCTTTCACAGGAAACACGCATGCAAACGTGATCTTTGTTTTTCTTCAATTTAATACAGGAATATACGATGGATGTCTTCTTTCGTCAGACATGGGTAGATAAAAGATTAAAATATGATGGCCCTATTGAAATTTTAAGACTTAACAACTTGATGGTCTCGAAGGTGTGGACTCCTGACACTTTCTTCAGGAATGGAAAAAAGTCTGTTGCACATAATATGACAGCCCCAAATAAACTCTTCAGAATAATGAGAAATGGCACCATCCTGTACACAATGAGGTATCTAATGTGTTTGTTTGACTTCTAACAATTACTGTATGCAAAAGTTATACTGCCCAGACAAAATGGCAACCAGAGACTATTTAATTTGTTCCATTATAGGCTTACAATAAGTGCAGAGTGTCCCATGAGATTAGTGGATTTTCCCATGGATGGTCATGCTTGTCCTCTCAAATTTGGGAGTTGTAAGTTGCAATTATGAAATTTCTTGTAAATACAGAATTTAAATAGTAGAAGTAAATTTTGAGCAATTAATAGACTTTCTGAATATATACAGATATGTCTTGATAGGCAATCCCTATGCAGACAAAACTCCTGTTAAGTTCCTTGGAAATTTTATTTAGAACCTTAAAAATTAAACCCAGAGAACTGAAAAGCAGGCAGTGATTCAGCTATTATGTTAAACCTGACTATTCTGGTTACACAGTTGCTTGAAATATATAGTTTTTCGTGGTTCTCAGTGAGGAATTGGATACCTAGTGAAATGAGAGATTCTGTGGAGAAGACAAACTCAGTTTATAACAGCCAGGTAAAAGGCACCTAGGGAAGCAGGTTATTTGACTTTGTGTACAGGTAGTGGAGGGACATTGGCATCCTAAGATAGATGTGTATGTTACGTGCAGAGATTTGATTCTTAGTTGTAATTGTCTGCATGGCAAGTTTAGATGAGATAAATAGTTTTTAAACTGGTGAGAAGAATCTTAGTACAGATTACTTTTCTGCTTTGAGGTCAGAAGTAGATTTTTGAAAAACGTCCAAACTTTGGCTAAAAGGCACATTTTGGAACATGCTGCATAACAACCTAGGGAGATAGTTATGGTTCCATGATGTGAATCCAAAGCAGAAACTTCTAAGACCCCCTGGGGATGGTTGGTGCACTCCATTAAGTGCACTCCATCTTGTCACTCTTTTAAGACTTCTTGGTCACTGACTTGTCTGCTTTAGACACTCTGATGTAGTCAGTAGCTGGACATTAATTTGTTTTCCTTGACACCAGAGTTCTGAAGTCAGAAATGGCTGGAGAACCCTCATAGTTTTTCCCTAACATAAATTATCTTATACAGCTGGGTAGTCAACCTAAAGGCGGGTATTAAAGACACCGCTCTGATAACGATTTTTAATGCCTGTTACAGTGAGACTGGGGACCAGGTGCTGCAAGATTTGACTGTGGTATCAGCTGTATGATAGGGGTACTTTGATAGTGGGGGCTCCTCCACAGGCATCATTTTTCTTCAGACAGGATCACCAGCTGGCAGAAATTTTGCTGAACACTAATCTGGTATTTTCTGCAGTGAAACTTCAAATAACATGTAGCCATTTCAAATGGAAGACTGATTTGATTTAATTTTAACAGGAGTTTGGACTGTGTAGGGATTGAATGCTAGCCCTAAGTTATGTCTTTTGCCTTAAATGTAAAATGTTTCTTTGTGTGTGCTTATTGTGAATTCTTTACTGACCTATGGTTTCCAGCAAATATTTTAAACTTCTGTTTAAAATATTGTAGTTTTTAGTATAATCATTCTTTCCTGTAAAGAAATGTGCACCCTATCTTCAAAATGTATCCTCTTTGTACATGCTCTTTTTTATATATTAGTGTATTTTAACAATTAAAATTTTAGATAGAAATTGCTAAAATAAAGATAAACTTTGCATGCCCAGTAGGGGCTGATCCAGAAAGAACTTGCATTTAGTCTTCACATTCACATGTGAAGTGAATTTATGTGTGACACTTGACATACAGTTTTAGTTGTTATTTATTCTCCTCTGAGGGTGGCTTTCGGGAATAACTTAGCATGAAGGGTATCTTCTGAAGTTGTTTATGTGAGTTTTACTGTTTGGTTTCAGTAGATTTAGATTGGGCTCTTAGTAAGGTATGAGAAAAAGTTTCCTGTTTATGCAAACTGATGCTGTGTTGTAGATGCTTATCCAAAGAGTGAAATGATTTATACCTGGACAAAAGGACCTGAGAAGTCAGTGGAAGTTCCTGAGGAGTCTTCCAGTTTAGTTCAGTATGACCTGCTTGGGCATACGGTATCCTCTGAAACTATTAAATCTATTACAGGTAGGAATCTTGTCAGTAAAAATCAACTTGAGGTAAAACTAACCTGTAACATTGCCCAAAGCTTTTTTGCTTTTCTTTCTGTAAGTTATTCTACTGAATGTCGTAGGGTATGTATTAAGGGCTGAGAGTGTAAATCTGAATTAGGTTTCTGTCCTTGAGATTTACATTTGCAGATTCATTACAGTAAATTGTGACAGTCTTTCAGAAAGCTAGAATGAGATCATTACTCCAAGGGACAAAATGATTATTTAATCACTGCTTAAAATGCAGTTTGAAGAGTCAAGAGGATGCCTGGGTGAGGAAGTAATTTCTCAGCACTGTATCCACATTATGTGCAAAAGACTTCCTTTGTTTGGCGGTGCAAACAGCTTGGGATAGAAGTACAGCATACAGAATGGGTTATTAAAGCCATAAAAACCCTCTAGCTGGATAAGGATAGGCACAAATGCAATAGTCACAATAGATACTTCTACTGATTTTTGCTGTAAGAAAAAAGGCAAATGGTAACTACAGGCATCCAAAATGAGGGAAGTATCACTGATGAGCAATGCGGTGATAAACAAGCATATTCCCAAAATACTATTAAAACTTGGAATAATTTTCTAAGCATCAGCAGGTTTAGGTGTTGTGAGATGGTCAAAATGAAACAGATAATGCAAATATATTTGATTGCTCTATGGGTATTATACTCAAAGATAAAGTGGCATTTTGCAATATGCTAGAAATTTACTTCTCGGCATATTGATTACTATGAGTTAACAACAAAATTTCCTTGCTGTCCCCAAAAGACTCATTCTGTAGTACTTTATTTAGACAGTTTATTCAATTCATGGTAAAACTACTTTTTTGTCTCTGCTTAGTATGAGTGATAACATTTTAGATAAACTTTGAGTATTTTTAATTCTTCTCAATGGTTTTTATATTTGTTTCATTGTCATAGTGATGCTGACATACAAACCTAGTAAAAAGCTGAGATGCTTGCATGACATTTGACTTGTATCATTGTTCTTATTGTTTTATTTGGCAGGTAGGTACTACAATGTTATAGATACTATGGTGGGTAGGTAACTTGTGTCTTGGGACTCTCTTCAATAGGTGCCAGAAGGTTTTTTTAAAAAAAATCTTTAAAATCATGCTTATACTGTAAAATTAAATCCAGTATTACCTGTACACTTACGGTATTTTTGATGTCAACTTTTTAATGGCACCTTAACAACCTATCATTTCTAGGACTTTTTGTTTAAAAGTTTCATTCTTTTTATAAAGAGCATATCTTTCTGTACATGTTAAGTAATATGAATAGCATCATCTTAAACAATCCTAGTGGAGAGTCTGAAATAGTTATTCTGCAAAACAAATTTAATACACAGTCAGAAAAATATTTTTCTTTTTTTTTTTAGGTGAATATATTGTTATGACAGTTTATTTTCACCTCAGACGGAAAATGGGTTATTTCATGATTCAAACCTATATCCCATGCATTATGACCGTGATCCTCTCTCAAGTTTCATTTTGGATAAATAAGGAATCCGTTCCAGCTAGAACTGTTTTTGGTAATTATTTCCTTTTGTTTAAAAAAACTTTTTCTCGTAATTGTTCTTTTAATGACTTTTACTAGAATAGGCCTTTTTAGTGTTGTGGGGTATACTGCCTCCATACTATAATAATAATAATAATGGCCAGTCTTCGCGAGCGAAGATCCGGGGAAGGTCTTTCCACCTTCCAGCCTGCGCATTGGATTTTTTAGGTGAGACACAGTGTGCGCGGAACTGAGCCCACCCTTTAATCCTAAGGTTCATCTGCCGGGGCCAAGCGAGCTTGGACGGTGGCAGCGAGGTCCTTAGGACGTAGGTGGGTTGCCTTTAAGGGCTAACGAGCCCCACCTGCCCGGGAGTGGCCCTGACCAGGAATCGAACCCAGGTCTCGGCGGTGATAGCGCCGCGCCTTTACCACTAGACCACCAGGGGCTCCTCTGCCTCCATACTAGCGCAGAAACAAGGGAATAGTGTAAATTCAGAACAATTTTTGCTATTGATATATGAAGAATGTTGCTGTGTGAATCCTTGGAACCTGAAGAGAAACTTGAATATATAACCTGAAGGGTGGCATGGTTGTCTGTGGCAAATGGCTGTACAGCTCTAGGGATTTTTGCTGCTTAGGGAAGACCTGGCCCTGAGTAATAGTCTGGCCCTTAATCTACATCCAGAGCAGGTTTATCCTCCAGTGGGCAATAGTGTAAGTACTTGAACTGCATTTTATAGAAGACTTGTAAAAGAAATTGGAATGTGCAAGATGTACAGATGTCTTGTTATGAGGTATCTATGTCATCAGTGGAAGCTTGGTATGGTAAGGCTTAGATCCTGTTAATGTAATTTCATGTTTAGTGCTCTTCTTTCCTTTCTGCCATTGCCATTATGAAAATGAATTACAAAAGCAAAATGATCACAAGATATTAAAATTGCCCTCATCGAAATACAGCTTGAATGAGATGCTACAGTGAACTCTGAGAACAAAAAACAGAAAAACTTTTGTGGAAGAAAAACCATAAGAAATTAAATGGAAATAAAACAAAGAAATAGGATTAAAACATTTTAAAATTGGCCTTTATAGAGCAATGTCTTGGCTTCATAAAGTACTGTAGTCTAAAGCAGGAAGAGAATGTTCTGCAAAAAGCCTTTCTATAGACAGATACTGGGAAGAGTGATAGGAATTAATGTTTCTATGTGATGGCCCATTTAAATGTGGAAGTTGAGTCAGAACATTGTTTACATCACAAATGAGACAAGGTTAATGATTAATTTTAGGAGAAACAACTTGTAAACCTAATAAGAATCCTACTAGCTTTTAACTCAAGCATTACATTAGACACACTAATGTATCACTTCATATACCTTTACGGTGATGTTGAATAATGATACTTTTTTGAATGGAATATTGTCGTGAACTGGAAATATAGAATCTGTTTTTACAGACCAAAAGAGATAATTGAAAATGTACATAGACAATAGAGCAATATATGTAATATGTGTAACTATATCCATATGTGAAACTGAAAAATACTAATTAAGTTTGAACATCTACAAAGTTAGAGATAAGTCACTAAAATGCCTTTGAAAGATAGTAACTTAAAGTATGGCAGCAAGTATCTTTCTAGTTTTGAGACCAATTCCAACAGGGACCCTATTTTCTAAAGGTTTTTTTCAAAGAGAAGAAGAGATAGGGAAAAGATAGGAATGAAGCCATGCTTTGGCTTTCTAGAGGAACTGTCAGAAGAGGCTAACCAAAAGATCATTGCATTGGACACTGAATGATTAGGAAGAATTTGTCAAAAGTAACAGATGAAGGATACGCAAGGAACTACGGTACATCGATTCATGATTTATGCAGTCAGAGCTTCAAAGAGAAGCAGAGTGGCAGAGTGGAAAAACAGCGGTAATTTTAGAACAGGTTTTAACCATGTAAAAATTTATTATTAGTATTTAATTTTAACATTAGTTTTTATATTTATGTTAAAAATTAAGGCTTATGTGCATTTCTGATGAGTAGCTTTTAAATATTTAGCTTTGGATAATTACAGTTTATATGTAAACAAAATATTTTTACTGGGACTTAGTTCCCTACCCTGTAAATCTCTATGGCACATATCTAGGGGCAATTGCAGTGGCAACTGCAAGTCTCCTGAAGAATGATTTAATAGAGAAAAATCTGATAAAGATATAATACTGTTGTGGCCTCCCCTCTCCTCCTTGTTTTTCGTCAACATTCAGTCACTCAATTCACTTCAACCTACTTTTACATTTGTTAAACAAATGTCTTTAGAAACAGTTCAGGCAAACTTTTTGCTGTAAGTAGACAAAGGTCCACTCAGGTCCTCAGGAAGGATAGGGCTAAACAGGGATGGAAAAAAACCGCCACCCTTTCCATAATTTTTTTTTTCCTCAAACATTTTCAGTAATGTGTTTTTCAACACCTTCCCACTGAAGAAGGTTTTGTGAGCTTACATCTATGTCTTTTGTCTTCCCGAGTTCGCTCTGATACATCCCTTGTACTTTCATGAACTGGCTAATACTCTTTTTTCTCTTTTCTCTTCTTTAGTAGGAAGGACTGGTTTTATTGTGACCAGTTCTCTGTATGGCAGTGAAGCTTTTTAGTATCAGATTACCTTGATGGAATACCACTATTTAGCAAATGGGAACTGTGAGGAATCTGTTGAAAAACATGTTCTTAAATAGTTTGAATTCTTCTGAGAATAAGAATTCTATCTTGAATTAGAATGGTTACAGTGTTCTTTTCATAACAGTAAAGACATCTCCATTTGTAGTTCCTATTCCTTGAGGTTATTATGCTAGGACTTGTATAGTGTTCACGACATACTCGTGTTTTACTTTGATGATATGGGATATTTTGGATGAAAAAGGAAGAAAAGGACCCCATACCTGGTTTTGTGCAGCATGCATTTGAATTTGAAGTACTACCATGAAGTGGTCGTGTTTTGAGTTCAGTGTTCATGCCTGTACATTTTAATTAAAAAGTTGTTCTTTCAGAAGAATAAAATTCTAATTAAATGTTTATTGGTGGACTAGTAGCAGAAGGCTTTAAAAAAAAGGGTGATGGTTTCTTAACTAAGAGAATTGTTAATATAATATTCTTCCTTAGCACCAAAATAATTTGTCATGACTTAATGACACCTGCATTACAAGTGTGATCAGAGGAACAGATGCAGAATAATAGATGATATTCAGAACCCTTTACAGGAAAAATCATTTTTTTGTTGCAGGAGCACTCCTCAATTTAACAACCTAAATTACGTTCAAATGTTCAGAAAATGTTTAGAAAATAACTTGTAAAAACTTCTACTGAACTTGACATAAAAAAAAAGTGAAATAAAGGCTTCCATGTTTTCTTCATGTGACCTGTAGATGATCTGCTGAAGTGATGGTTTTCCATGCCTCCTTTAAAAACTGGTTAACTGTTTTGTGTGCATAGCTGCTCATGGATATGGTGGTTGCCGTGACTTAGATGTAACGGCACTATTCACAAGCAGCAGAGAAAGACTCAAAAGTGATTTAAAATTCTTTGTTTGAAGCTGCTTGCTTTGTTTTACTTTGATTCAGCAGTGCTTTTGCTTTATTTCTTTGAAGGAATAACCACAGTGTTGACAATGACGACACTGAGCATCAGTGCAAGACATTCACTGCCAAAAGTATCCTATGCTACTGCCATGGACTGGTTCATCGCGGTTTGCTTTGCCTTTGTATTCTCTGCTCTTATTGAGTTTGCTGCTGTCAATTATTTTACTAACATTCAAATGGAAAAAGCCAAAAGGAAGACAGTAAAGTCCCTTCTTGAATTTCCAGTTGCTCCAGTACAAAGAAAAAGAAGTACAGAAGAGACGCTCACGGTATGTTTTCAACTTAAACAAACATTTTCTGTCTTTTTGGTAGTGTTTTCCAGTAAAAACAGGCCTTTAACTTCCTCTGCCATTCCCTCTGAGCTAGTGATGCTATGTAAGTCAGTCTAATGGAAGGCTAATGCTACATTATATTCAATTATGAAAACCTGTAAAACATGATTTAATTCTTACTTGCTTTATTGAATAAACTCAGGGGAGAGGAGGAGGTTCTGTCCCTGCAGTCTCTTCTATGTTTGTCTTTTGGTCAAGGTCAGTTATGACAGGTATCTTGAGGAAACTGTTGCCTTTTGCACCCTGACTCTGAATGGACTGATTATATAGACCAAGATTTTACAGATTATAAAGGCAGTGTGGTTATCCAATGTCTTTAATGAATTAAAATAAGCTAAAGCATTGCAGTTGTACCTTGGAGCACTTTCTTAGACATCACACTTCCCCTTGCATTGCATATGTTGCCTATCTAGAGTTTGCTTTCTTTATCAGTTACAGTTTCAGGAATAATTGAGGAATGCTGGATGGAACTTCTGCGTCTACCATAGATTTGATTTTTATGTAATTTGTATATCTTTGCACAGGAGTTCACCTCGATCCCTGAAAAGTTTTTTGGGCTCTGTTTAACAAAATGCTTCCTGCTTTCATAGTGCTTTGGATTAAGTGTGACTTGTGTGGTATCTCTCTTAGTGTGTGGACCAGTTAATAAAGGCTCAATATCATTTCCAGTTGAGCTCACTGGTGGTACCCTTTCCTTTTTCCATTCCCACATCTTTACTCTCTACTGCATCTATTCATTGGACACATAGCTAACAAAATCATTATGGCACTTGTACCAGCTATGTGGTAGGACAGTAATTCCCAGCCAGGATTGACTCTTGGCAACACCACTCCAGAAGTGAAGACATTGACAGTTGTAATTTACTCTTTCTGTCAGGCTGACTTTGTAATTTCCTTTGGCTGAGCCATGATTTAAGAAGTGCTGTTTTCGACTAACTCTTGTTAATTTTGTCTTCTGTCTCTTCACATCTCGTTTGTCTCCTTCCCTATTCATCTTCTCATTTCTGCCTTCCCACCCCTTCCATTTTCTATCACTGCTCCACTGCTGTACACCCACTTCCATTTTTGTTCCTCTTTTTTGCTCTCCTACTGCAGATACTGTTTTCAGTCTCCTCGTTGTGTTTTGTTAGCTCTCATTTCTGCTTAAAAGGAGATGTGCTCCTGAAGAGTTTGTTATTTATCATTCTATTGGTTTCTAGTAAGAAACAGGAATGAAAATATGTTTATAGTAGCATGTAGTTCACCTTGCACGTAGACGTATTAGTGCTGTTAGCTTATACTAAGCTTCTTGATTGTGTAGAATGAAGGTTAGTATATGTCTTGGCTGCTCCTGAGGAGTGTTAATAAGCACTGCTTTTGGTGATAGATTTTATTTACGTTCATAGGAAAATAAATTACATAAGAGCAGTTTAATCCTAGGTTTATTTATACGATTTGATTTATAACAAAGGAAAAAAAATAGTAGTTTTCTCAGGTAGCTTAACAAAACTCTTTATCTTGGAGGCTTAACAAAACTTTGATTCATGGACAGAATTGCTCTTAGTGGTGTATCATGCTTAACCATTTATACACATTTTGGAGAAACTTCTTTTTCTCTTTTTTTTTTTTTTCCCCCCTCTGTTATTATGGTTTTTGTGGGTTTTTGTTTTATTATTTTAACAGTAGCAGCAACAGAATACACAACTCGAAGGCTAGATAAAATGAGATATGAACAATTCTATTCTACTGCTTCATTAATAGCACTGTGATAAATTTGGTAGTGTGCTTACAGGTTTGGGGACTTTGAAACCACTCAAGGAAGCAATCTTCTTTTTCAAAGGGTTACACATTAATGTTATGAGCATGTGAGTGAGTGATAATGTTGATTGTAACTTGAACTGTTACTTTTTTCATGGCTTTTTCCGTAATTATGCCACACTAGGACTTGAAGCTTTGCTCTTCTAGGACAAGGTGACTTTTATAAAGCCTTAACTATTGTGCAGTCCTTTCTGTGGCTAGGGGATGACTTCTGATCTCCTGCTGGGCAGAACAGAAGCTAGTATTGCTGTTCTGATTCTCTAGAAGCTAACATGGCTGTTATATTTGCTTTCCAACCTGTCATGTAATACAATTCTTGCTTTATTTTGCTTACTAGTATAGCATTTTCTTCCTTATTTTTATTATTATAATTTCTTTATGCCTTATAAATCTGATTTTTTTTCTACACATATACTGTCTAGTCAGTGCTGATTTACTAGAGATAATGCAATCTCAGCTTCCTTGTAAATTTGTGGTGCACAAAGAATGCAGGACAATTGCCTGACTGTGGTATGTAATCTGTAAGCATTATTTCTTAACATAAAGACTACACATTTTTTTTCTCCATAGCTAAATGATAGGCTTTGATTTCTTAACCCAGTTAGTGTTTAAAAGAAGTCTGTACTCCGTTGCCACTATTGTGCTAGAAATTCTGTTGATAGAAATACAATTGCCAGAGCTCAAGGAAAAGTTGTATTTTAAACTTGGAACTTTTTTTCGAATAGAGTTTACCTATACTTGGAAATTTTCAAGCCTCCCAAAATTAAAAATTTTCTCTTAGCCCAGGGAGGAAGTGTCTTTTAAGTGGGAAAGAAGATGCCTGAATACCTAGACCCACAGCTCTTTCTGGCGTATATCTCACCATTTGCAACCTGCTTTGGATCTTCTACTAATTAGAGGGGGAGATCCCTCTCTTATGCCTGTTAGTCCTTTACTTTTGCTGGACTTGAAACGGCGTAGAGGTGTCTGTGCTGGCTTTTTGCAGTTGAGGTCCCCTCTGCATAAGTCCCCTGAAAACAAGAAAATTACAGAGTAGTTGAGGCTGTTAAGGAAAACAAGGTGATATTATACTTTTAAATAAGGGTTTCATTTTATGGGTGTTGTTTTCTGCATTATTCAGTGGGTGGGTTTATGCATTTGACTTTATCTTTTAATTTACTTTTTTTTTTCCCCTTAAGTTATATGTTGGGATTGTCCTAGAGGGCTTCTAGGAGGGAGCAAGGCTATGAAACTGGATTATCTATAGAACATGGAGATTTTACTATCTGATGGTATTAGAAATCAGACACGTTAATGGTAACATTTGGTAAAATAAATTTCACATAATTAGAAGTCCTTTTTTGAGAGGTATACCTTTGACCAATTTCTGTCCAGAGAATTAAAGTGGGGTTTCTATATTGAATCAGTTAATATATTACTCATGCTAATTAGAATTCTTGGTGGTGGGTTGTTTTTTTCTCTTCAGTCAAAACCACTTTTCTAGTTGTCTTGGATCAAAGGCAACTCCTATCATTATGATCAAATGATTTGGATGGGTTCATTCATATTATATATTTTTTCACCACAACCAATACATCAGTACTGTAGCAAATGTGGGCTATATGCTTTTCGAAGTTATTCTCTTGTGTAATTATATTTACTTTTTTGGAACCACATGATGGGCGTGACTGAATATGCTGATTACAGTAAGCATTAAATACATTTCAAAGTCTAGCTAAGTAGTCTGAACTGTATTAATTCCAACAAAAAAATCCTGACATCAAGCTAATTTACTGGGCTGGAGCCAGTCTATAGTGCCTGCAGATTTAGTGAGTGTTCCTTTATCACTTAATTTGGTTTTAACCATAGTATTCTTCAACCTTTTTTTTATACTCCTCCCCCTCCCTACGCCCTTTCAACTCTTCTTAATGTCTCTGACTTTCTGATACAAACTTAATGTGTTTCAATAAGGAGGAGTGCAGCTCTGCAGTAGACATCCCAGGAATAGGACCCAAGCTTTTTTGAGGTCTGCCTTAAGTTCACAAGGGGTTCATTCATACTTTGTCAGGTACAGCAAGATAGCACTGCAATCTGTCTAAGCCAAAAGAGATTACTTACACCATGGTCTTCTGTGATTTCCTTGTTTTGGGACTAAGTTAAAATGCTTTCAGGTTAGAAGGAATGAACCTGTCCCTAAATGCTCTGAACCCCTTTAATATAAGAAGAAATGTTACTGCAAGTCAATCTGTGATGGAAATTAATGATTTATAGTTTGTTATTGGAATCCTGAGTCTATTTTTGTGCTTCTGCACTATTTCCTTTTCACTGTATTCCTATGAAGTTTATTTTTAAAGACCTACCCAATTTTGGAGATGAATGCTGCTGAAAAACAGTCTTCAAAAAACAAGCTCCTGAACACTGGTAACATGAGCTTCAACCTCAGTTGTTTGTTAAAAGAGTGTGAAACTTGGGGAAAAATCAGGTCAGACTCAAAAAACCCTTTTGAATGGAATTATTTCATCAAACTTGGTCACAAGTAGATTGTAACTCTCAAACTTTCTTCCTCTCCCTGAAGACGGTTAAATGTCATCTTGTCTTGAGTAAACCCTGTAGCCTGGAGGAGCTTAAGAGTCAAGCTCTTCACTGCCATGTAGGCACACACTCCTCTCCTTAGTAGGAACATCCAGACTTGGGTGATATATGACCTCACAAGTTTACAAGAAATGTTGCCATGTGAACAAGCTGCATATGTGATTTCATTTCAAGATGTATTTTCTGTGCTATGAAGTATTTGTCTTTTAGTCACATATGGACAGATCAAGTTACATGATAGGGATGGGAGGAAAGTGGAGATCCTTTGGCAGCTTTTGGTGAACAGACATCTAGAGCAATTATTCTGACTGATGCCCACCTCTGCCCCAATACCCCAACTCCTGACTTTCAGAGCAAAGATTGGGCCAGATAAATTTTTCTGATGGGCTGGGTACAATCTTGAGGCTGTCTGTAGCATACTTTTTTTGTGTGTGTGCTGGGTGTTTTGTTTGTAATCCCTGAAGTTGATTAATGATATAGGTCTAAGGTTTAGACTTAGATGAAAGTGGAAATTTTAGCCTCTAAACCAAAACTTGTATTTGAATATGTAGACATATTCTGTAATGGAG